AAAGAAAGCTCCTCTTGCATGGTTAAATGCAAAATATACCCCTAAGCTTTTCTCTTCTACTAGCCATATAATTTCAGCCTCTCCCTGGCATTTCTGCTTCATCTTGCACTGGAATTTTTATTCCTGTGATTCTCTCTTCTTCCTAGTGTCATCCTCCTAATCCCAAAAAGGGTATTGATTTTAAAACAAAAGTGACCTTTTAATTTAAGTGTCTCCATTGTTGTGGCAATGGCTATTTTGCATATTGTTCCATATTAAGTAGTAAAAAGAGTTTTACTGAGTGAAATGATAGATAAGCCCACACCCCTGAAGCTACTTTGATCAGGTTAATTTAGAATTTGGCACAACAGAGACATCTGATGTTTTTAATCCTGTCAATAAAATATATGCTGTACTTTGATAAGAAGCAAAGGAAAACAACTACACTCATAACATACTTTTCCTTCCTTTCTTACACAGGCCCACCAAGACCATCACTATGACCGATGGGGACTATGATTATCTGATTAAACTCCTGGCTCTTGGAGACTCAGGGGTGGGAAAGACAACATTTCTTTATAGATACACAGATAATAAATTCAATCCCAAATTCATCACTACAGTAGGAATAGATTTTCGGGAAAAACGTGTGGTGAGTTTTTAACCATACTGCTAACTTTGCTAAGTATCCCCCTGTATAAAATAAGAATTAGGAAGTTGTGTTTATTGTACTTTAAAGTGTCTTGCCTTTTATCACATGAAACTTATAACTTAACTTTGGAATATCACCTACTAGTATTTCAACTATAAATAATATTTGGATAAAAATATTAAGTGACACTTTCTTGTCTTCAAAAGTATACAAGGGCAAGTAAAATAATTGATTTGGGAGATTTGTATAGTGTTTTTCTATGAATTCTTAAGGAATCTTTTAAAACTGGAGTTTTTTCAGAATCTAGAAACATTAACTCTTTGAGTTATTTTCCTCAGTAAAGCTAGTGTTCATATCCTTACTCCTAACAAAGGTTAAAAGTATGATTGGCAGATAGCTGGAACTAAGCTTGAAGATTTCTTGCTGCATTGTTATTTATGTGTAGCCTCAGCCATCAATCACTGGCTTATTATGAACAGAATGTGAGACCAATCCACGCTATTTTCCAAGATAAGGGAGTTTAAGTGAGATTCACAACCACTTCCTTCTCCTATGCTAGACGCTAATGACAGGAAGGAGGATATTGTGACATGTGAGACGTGTACCATAGGCACATAAACTTGGCCAGATTTACTGCCACCCAAGGTATTCTTGACTGCCGAGATGGCTGTGGCTTCCAATTGATGTCACAAATCTACTCATTCCTTGAAAATTTGGAGGAAAAAAACCCCCAATAATGGAAATGTTTTGTGAAAGGCCATTGCTTGAGCAACTGAATTGTATTCTGTAGCTTATCAGATATTCATTCATTGTAGAATAGTTTTACCACATTCCAGGATTATCCTGACTTATTCCCTCTCTAGTACTCCCGCTAATCTGGCCACATATCCTTGTAAATTTTTCCCTTTAGAAATTTTTGCTAAATCATTAAACTTATATAAAAAGACATCAAAGAAGCAGCTAGTAAAGGAAGACTTGAAATGTCCTGAATCAACTTGGAGAAATTCTGTGTACATGTTATAGCTTGGTTGTTTTGAAAGTCCATTTTGCATTAAAGATATTCAGGTATTTGTAAAGTAAATTTTTGTTTAAAAAAATGCATTCACATCTATTATTTTCTTGCAGTTTGTAGCAACTCTGTAAAGTAGGAAAGGATTATGGGTCTCAATTTACAGATAAGAAAATTAAGCTCAAAGAAATTAAATGAGGAGTTAGTATTTGAACCTAGAACTTTCATCCTAAGTCTGATGTTTGCTGCCTCCGTGAAGAAATGACAGAAGGTGTCTAATTTAATTTTACAGTATGCCTAAATTGTGTTGAAAACCATACTTGTATTTGACATTTAAAAGTGAGATATATGTGATAACTTCTGGGATAAAATAGAGCAAATATTTATTCTGCACTATGAACTTTGATTATAGTAATCAAGAAAAAACATGCTGAATGAAACCCGAGAATTAGAATGTTAACAAAATGCAAACCAATATTAACTGAAGGGAATTGTGTTTTTCAGGTTTACAATACACAAGGACCAAATGGATCTTCAGGGAAAGCATTTAAGGTACATCTGCAGCTTTGGGACACCGCAGGACAAGAAAGGTAATAGGAAATCATTTTGTTTCTAGCTATATCTACCTTATAAAAACTTATTTTAAATGAATTCTGCATGTGAACTACCAAAAACAAATGATAAGCAACTCTTCTGGTTTTAAAATAAACATTTGTATCAAGAGATAAAAGTAAATGGTTTCTGGTTAGTTAACCATAATTAGTCTGGTATAGTTCATGCAAATTACAAAAATTAGATTTAACTAAGTCTTTGTACTTCCTAGTAGGAAGAAACTTCTCCAGATTTACTTGAATGAAGACGGAAAATTAACACTGTTGTAACTGCTACTTGAAGAGGGAGTTGAAGAAAGAGTGTTCAGACCTTTCTTGTCTATTTCTGTTCTTTCACACAATCTCTGTCCCATGCTGGGTGATTGGCTTCGCTCACTCACAATCTGATCACATCATTGCCCTTCATCTAGAATCTTCAACTTCCTTCCCACCTTTCCTGATCCTCTCCTAACACAGACCTGTCTCAAATTCCATCTCCTGCATGAAGGCTGTCTGAACACTCCCTTTCTTTTGTGCCTTCTGACACCTAATCTACCACCCTAAAGTCACTAAATTATTATTACTACCTTGTAATAACACACATCTTCTATTTTTAACTCTAACTGCTCTTCATTGATTCAATTGTAATCTTCTCCTCCTAAGAAAATTATGAGCTGGATAAGGGCAGAGACCTTGCCCAGTTTTTCAACATCATCCCTGGTGCAATGTCTAAGGAAATAGATAGTACACAGTAGTGTTGGTTGCTTAGAGCCAGGGTTATTATCACATTATTCAAAGAAAATATATTTCTTTGGGATCTAAGATTTCAATGCTAAAGACCCAAAACTAATAAAGCTTTTTAATATTAGATTATATAAAAGTGGCAATTGTTTGGCAGCAAAGATATTTAGAAGGCACATACCTCCAAATTCTGCATCATATGTCTTAGAATGCTTATGCTTGTAAATACTTCCATTTTTGAACTGCATCCAAAATGTTCTCGCTTTCAGTGAGTGTAAATGCCAGGGGAGGTGCTGGGCCTTCTCTGTTAGCTTTTTTGACTATGAATTCCATTCACACACACCCATCAACACTGTCGGTTCTTCTAAAGTCATTCTTCACAAGAGTTTCTGTTCATGTGTCAGTTTTGTTGTCACAAAGATGTATGTTTTATAGACCAATTTAATACATTTTTGAAGAAGTAATAGGAGAAAATGTGGTTCCCATATGTTCTCACACATGATATGTCAGCCTAGCGTGATGGCAGACTTCTCTCATCTGTCCCCTTAAGACAGCTGTGCTACTGGGGAAATGGAGAACACTAGGGGCATCTTTGTAACAAGTGGGTTATTCATCCCTTGAGAATTTTGTATTCTGTATTTATAAGGTGTAGCTAAGCAACATGATAAACAGTGCTTCACACCTCAGCCCTATGTCTCAGGACATCTGGCAATACAATCCATGTAAGGTAATGGTTATTGATAAAAGTCACATCATGGGAAAAATGAAGAACACATGATCCTTATGTAAACCTAAAGGATTCAGAACACAGCCTTTAGTGCCCAGTAAGTGAGAAAGAACAATAAGGTGCCTGACTTTGGGACTGGTTTCTTTATGTGGTCTTAGCTTTTCTCACCCCTGTTGAATCAATAGATAAAAATGACATAGGGAAGGATGTATGAAAATGAAAATCAATTACTTTTGCCATTGGGAAGACTGGAAAGTAACAAGGATACTGGGTAAATCATTATAGGGTATAAGCCTGCTCCTGAGCAAGTGTTTTTATCTATGTCATTAAAAATGAAGATGTGTTTGCCTTAATCAGATTACTACAACAGCATGTTTTGGAGTGACTTTGTTATGAGTTGTGGGCAGTGAGAGGCATTGGGGACAACATAGGGTTGTCCTCAAATAACACACACACACACAGAGAGAGAGAGAAAACACAGAGCAGTTTTCTTAGTCACATCACTATTGTACTTAAAGAAGAGACAATTTTGTGGTTAGAGCTAATTTCCAAAGAGAGAACTGTCCAATAAGAGCACTATAATCAATGTGAGCTCTTAGACAATGGCAGAAACAGATCCACAAGAAAAAAAAAAGGAGGAAACTATATTCTATAGTTTTAGATCTTGAGAATGCCCTACAAAAGAAATCCTACTTTGGGAATAAATTGTAGTTAAATTATTTCTTTCCCTCTGCTTAAGAATTCAAAGTATCATTCTCTATTAAAGTCACTTTAAATCTTTAATAATTTTGTATCTTTTACTAGTCACTATCTTTCTCTTATTTTAATTTAAAAATATGTTGTAAGTAAAAACAACATGTTCTGGACTATGAAAATATAATAGGTAGCAAACTAGAAACACAGCTCCTTTTCTCCTTGGAGTTTACAGAGTAGGGTGGAAGTTGAACAATAATTAATTGCAAGATAGCCCTAGTAATGGGGAAACAAAACAGTAAGCGAGCCCACCAAGAGGAAGTCATCACCCAGAAGGCCACTGGGGGAAGAGGTATTTCCCCTGCTGCCATTTTGTTTATACCCACACACAATGTATTCATGTGTTAGCCAGGCTAAAAGATGAATAGGAAGAAGAAGAATCATTAATATGAGAACCCACAGAGGAGAGTAAACTTTCTTAGAACTAAGAGAAGATCAGCCTGGCTACGGGTAGTCAAGGGAAACAAGGATCCTACAGAGCTTAATAAGGAGTTCAGAGAGTCTCTTAAGAGGCATGGCTAATCATTAAAATGTTGTTAGTAGGGGACTGATATAATCCATAGGAAGAACTGGATACAGGAAACCTAATAAGAAGGCTGTTGAAGTCATGCAGCTGAGAGATAATGGCTCTGAAACTATCACAGTGACAGGGTAGATGGACAGAAATGAGCAAGTCAAGAAGTACGCGTTGATCATGTGCAGCAGATGAAGGGAAAGGACATGTGCCATCAGGAGGATGAAGATGTACTGATGGATAAAGCAATTGGGGAGGGGCCATCTTGCATTTATCCTCTAGGAGGAAACGTCCAAGGAATTAGGCACATGGTATGAAGGATAGGAAACACCTAGATCTGCAAATTTTGGGTTCCTCAACATAGAGACTATAATTGAGCTCAGGAAGTAAATGAACTCATCCAATGAATGCACATAAAATGAGAGGTCAGGAGTAGAGAAGACCAACAAGAGGATCTACAAAATAGGATAAAATAGTAGTTCGAAAATTAGGACATTCAGGATATACTTCTCTATTTCAAAGCTACATGCCTTTCAGAAAAGCCATAGTCAAATTCAAAGCCTCTTCTGGTCCTTGGGTGTGGTCCCAGTTTTGCCAATTGCTAATGTCTAAGTGGATCTCAGCATGTCTTCAAACTTCACTAAAGAGGTCTGGAGGAGGAGTCCAGGAGAGATGGTTCTACATTGCATACAACACACCATATTCTTTAACTTGTCCGTTAGAAATTATTATTCTCACTTCTTTCTCCAACCAAGTTGCTCTTTTGTCCTCACATTGCCTCACACCTTTTTCCTCATGAGAACTGCACACCAGTATGAAGCTCAGTTTTAACCCCAAAGAGAGCTTTTAGAAGAATTTGTTCATCAGTGTCTTTCCTCACAAACAAATTTTAACTCCAGCTGCCAACAAGTTGTGGTTTTCTTCATATGACCCCAGACATTCACTTTCAGGCTACTGTGTACCAAGTTTTCTTCTGGGCACAGACAAGAAAGATTGAAGAGCATGAGTTAAAATCTCCACTATAAAAGTGGCTTACATTTTAATTGTGGACCACGGGATGCTCATGAGTCAAAAAGAAAAAGATTTCAAGATGCTGTGTAAGCAAGTGTGTGATTCAGTATTACAAACTGTGTGATACTGTGCCATGGGACCATACAGCTAGGAAATGCTCTTTGAAAATATCTAAAACCAAATCTCCCCTGGCCCATTAGCTACCTTCCTGCCCACTGTCCCATGTCTGTGGGATTAACCCTAACGGCCAGTCATCCCCACCTTGGATCTGAAAGGGAAGCAGTTCTGTCTGTATTACGATTGAGTCTGTGGACTAACTCAGAGCCGCCCACTATGCTTCCTCTGCAGGTTCCGGAGCCTCACCACTGCGTTCTTCCGAGACGCCATGGGTTTCTTATTAATGTTTGACCTCACCAATCAACAGAGCTTCTTAAATGTCAGAAACTGGATGAGTAAGTGGGCTGAGTAATGTGTATTGGCAGCTTGGGGAGCCCATGGTTGTTTGCCTTATGAGATGCAGCCAGAAAGGCTACCACCACAGACTAACTTTGGAAAGTCATGAGTTTAGTGTCACTGTGTCTCCTTCAAAGTGTGGATCACCCAAGGTGCCTTGGAATTGTATATTCCTTTGACATTCTTCTTTGAAGAAGGCTATGTAGCTTTCTCACCACCTATATTTAAGGTCTTTATTATTATAATTAAAAGGTCTTTATGTCTATGTGTCCAATGAGTTTTGAAGGACTTCTTACACCTAAGTGAGCTATGACTTCTGTGACATGAAACCTGGATAGGGTACAGAGAGAAACAGCAGTGTTTTCTGAGAGGGGACCCCAGACACTAAGATGTGTTTGAGGATGAATGGGCTAACTAGACCAAAAAGGACTCCAGAATCCAGCAGCCATATGTGAACACACAGCATGTTAGGCAGTCAGTTCACACTGGATTTTACTTTAATCAAGAATTGTTCAGCTGGGTGCCAGTGGCTCATGCTTCTAATCCTAGCTACGTGGGAAGCTGAGATCAGGAGGATCATGGTTCAAAGCCAGCCAGGGAAAATTGTTTAAAAGACCTTATTCCCAAAATAACTACAGCAAAATGGACTGGAGACATGGCTCAAGTGGTAGAGCACCTGCTTTGCAAGCATGAATCCCTGAGTTCAAACCCCAGTCCCACCAAAAAAAAGAAATTATCAAATGATGTCCTGTATGGAAAAATGTCTAGCCTCCATGGCAATTTAAAAATAACATAAAATTCAAATGCTGCCTAATTGATTATTGAATTCACATTGATTGAGAGATATCAACACAGGACAAAATTATTAGCATTGCCCTTTGGTTTTGCTCTGGTCATTTTGGAGATGGGGTTTTGTGGACTATTTTCCTGTTCTGGCCTCAAACAGCGTCCCTGCAGATCTCTGCCTCCCAATTAGCTAGGATTACAGGCATAAACCACCGACATCGGCTTAGTCTGACTCTCTTAATTACTTCTCTAAAAGAGTGTTTATCCTGTCTTTATTTCCTTTTAATATTGTATGGCCTTATTCAAATTTTGATGGTATTACTAGATTCTGAGGAGACAAGGAGATAATAAGATTATTATATTCTTTCAGAGAATAGTTTATTATCTTTTTTTCAAGGCACATGAGATGCTCCCTTGATTTTACTTCTCTTATTGTTGGAATTTAAGGTAATTAATTTCCAAGCCTAACAACACTGGAATTATTATTTTTTTTATTCATATGTGCATACAATGTTTGGGTCACTTCTCCCCCCTTCCCCCCTCTTACCCCCCCCACTCCCTCCCTTAACCCCCCTTACCTCTCACTACCCAGCAGACACTATTCTGCCCTTATCTCTAATTTTGTTGAAGACAGAGTATAAGCAATAATAGGAACAAGTGTTTTTGCTAGTTGAGATAAGGATAGCTATACAGGGAGTTGACTTGCATTGATTTCCTGTGCATGTGTGTTACCTTCTAGGTTAATTCTTCTCGAACTAACCTTTTCTCTAGTTCCTGATCCCCTTCTCCTAGTTGGCCTCAGTTGCTTTAAGGTATCTGCTTTAGTTTCTCTGCATCGAGGGCAACAAATGCTATCTAGTTTTTTGGGTGTCTTACCTATCCTCACCCCTCCCTTGTGTGCTCTCGCTTTTATCGTGTGCTCAAAGTCCAATCCCCTTGTGTTTGCCCTTGGTCTAATGTCTGCACATGAGGGAGAACATACGATTTTTGGTCTTTTGGGCCAGGCTAACCTCACTCAGAATGATGTTCTCCAATTCCATCCAGCGGATGATAACATTTCATTCTTCTTCATGGCTGCATAAAATTCCATTGTGTATAAATACCACATTTTCTTGATCCATTCGTCAGTAGTGGGGCATCTTGGCTGTTTCCATAACTTGGCTATTGTGAATAGCGCTGCAATAAACATGGGTGTGCAGGTGCCTCTGGAGTAACCTGTGTCACAGTCTTTTGGGTATATCCCCAAGAGTGGTGTTGCTGGATCAAATGGTAGATCAATGTTTAGATTTTTAAGTAGCCTCCAAATTTTTTTCCAGAGTGGTTGTACTAGTTTACATTCCCACCAGCAGTGTAAGAGGATTCCTTTTTCCCCTGCATCCTCGCCAACACCTGTTGTTAGTGGTGTTGCTAATGATGGCTATTCTAACAGGGGTGAGGTGGAATCTTAAACACTGGAATTATTAACACTCAAATCAGTGATGTTACAGGGTAAGTGTTTTGTGTTCTTCCTCTAGTGTTGGGAAGGGGGCAGAAGGCATGTCTTAAGGTACACATGAAAATAGCCTCTGGGACTTCAAAAGCACAGGTCGATGAATTTTCCATCTGTTCTTTTCTTTCCTTACTGCTTCCCTCCATCCCTACCTCCCTTCTTTCCTTTCTCCCATGTCCTTCCCTTCCTTTCTTCCCTGTCTCTCTGACTCACACATACACATAATGTTTTCCTAGAGAAAAGAGAAAAACTAAGATGCTGTCTTAAAACTGTTTCTATATGAATTTGTGGTTGCTCAAAAAATGTTTCATTCTATAGATCATCACTTTGGATATCAGAAGAGGGAAATCTGTGCATGTTTGTAAACACAGCATTAGGGATCAATATGCTGAGAGTTTCAGCCAAGCATGAGTGATATAATAAGACCCTGTCTCAAAAATAAATAGATAGAGAAATATAGCGCCTCCTACTAGAACAAGCAAATTTACATACTTTAAAATAAAGTTGCTGTTATCTCAACTTGTATCTGAAAAAATGAATGATATAAATCAGAATGTGGAGCTCAGGGGGCATTTTCCAGACGTAGGTGAGCATGGACAGGTATCGATTCAGGTGCTTCCCATATGTTATAATTCATCATCTTCATGGTCTGTGGTTCCCAAGGCATTATCTCCATTTTATCGATGAGGAAACTGCAGCAGGCAAGAGTGAGTGACCTGGCTAATTGTTACTAGTAAGCCACCAAACTGCAGATGAACAATTCACTTAGGAATCTGCAGTATGAACAGTCACTTGACATCACTTGTTTGTAACCAACTTGCGGCTCCATCTGCTTGCTTTCCAAGGCCAACTGCAAGCAAATGCTTACTGTGAAAATCCAGACATAGTATTAATTGGCAACAAGGCAGACCTGCCAGACCAGAGGGAAGTCAATGAACGACAAGCTCGGGACCTGGCTGAAAAATATGGGTAAGTGAGTACCACTGAGAACCATCTGACCTTGTGCACTACTCCCTAACAGATAAAGGAGACCTCAGATTGATAACAGAAGGAATCGCCTTGGATCAAAAACAGGAGACAGATTTAAAAGACTTTCCAGAAGAATATGTGATGTTTTAATGAATTATTTAATAATAATAGCACCTAACATCTGCTGAATTCTTTTCATATGCTAGCAATTGTTCCTAGACTTTATCTCACTTAACTTCTCGGAGCTATGTGTCAGAGACACCAGAGTTCCCCCATTTTTGTACATGAAGGATTGAGCCACCCAGAGATGAAATGCCTGATGGATAGCCACCTACCTAGTAAGGGTCAGAGTTAAAATTCAGTCCTCAGAGTCTAAAATCAGGGCTCGTGTTCTTAAACTCTATGCTCTTCTGCCTCTCAGCCATAGCTATGAGTTTAGTGAAAGGTACCAGACACAAGCAGGATAATGTAACACTCACCCCAGTTGAGCCTTACTGGCAGCTGAAAACAAGCAAAACCAAACCCATGTATTTGCAAATTGGTCACCACGGCACAGTCTGTCCTGATTTTTAAAACTTAAAGCAGTTTAATAATACTTGCCAAGTTTTTACTGAAGAATTCTCATTCAGAACTTTAAAAGTTCAGTCTTCTTGGAACTTTTAACTTCAAATATGTATAGCTGCATTCACATGAACATTTAATTTGATGTATGTTTAATTTTAAATAACATTTTTAGGTGATTGATTAGAAGGGACATAAAATTTTAATGACACTGTTGATCACTGTTTTTTGCGCCTCCTATTTGTTTTAAAACATGGTAATGCCTTGGTTTCAACTTTTTGACTACCTCCTATAGTGCTTTCCTTGCCCATAAAATTGCTTATTCCATACTAAAGAGCAGCCCACTTGTTTTCACTCACTGAGAAAAAAGCAAGAATGTTTCCAGCTTACCCAGTACAAGCATAATTTTACCATGTCTCTGCCAGTTGTGGGTTTTACATGTCAGCAATCTACACATCTTGCTTATCATTTCAGATTTCTTCCTCTCAGAAATAATTGTCATTAAAATTTTGTGGGGGAACTCTTAACCTCCACTCAGTGTTTTTCAAAAATACAGTATATTCAAAAGATCGATTGTGCAATATGGCAACTATATTTAATGATGACAAAATATATCCTTGAAAAAATGCAGAGTGGAATAACAAAAATGATAACCTTCTGAGGTAATATATTTGTTAATTAGCTAGATTTAACCATTCTACAATGTATGTGTATTTTAAAACACCATGTTATATCTGATACATATACACAATTTTACCTGTCATTTTCAAATGTGTATATTTACTTATTTTTTCTATGCTAGCATACCATATTTTGAAACAAGTGCAGCAACTGGACAGAATGTAGAGAAATCTGTGGAAACTCTTCTGGACTTAATAATGAAGCGAATGGAACAGTGTGTGGAGAAGACACAAGTCCCCGACACTGTCAATGGTGGAAATTCTGGAAAGCTAGATGGAGAAAAGCTAGCAGAGAAGAAATGTGCTTGCTAGACTCTACTTAGGAACTGATAATCAAGAACCCCACCCAAATATTACATCCAAAAACAATGACAACCCACAAAATTATAGTTGAATAGACCACGCACAATGGCATGTGTTTCTTTTTCTGCCAAAAAAAAAAAAAATCTATTTTAAGAAACCAGTCAAAAGTATTCAAAAGAATTAACAAGTTATTCTTAAGTTTCTTCCCTCCCCACCAAAAAAACATTCAAAGATTTCCTGAGGTGATCTCACTATCAAGGAGGGTCAGATGTTCAAAGAAGTTGAATATATAAAAGAGAAATAAGAATAAGAAGAGATACCAATGAGTTTTAAATGTGAGTGAAAATTACTTTGAAACATTAGAGAAAGGGGTAGGTTACTAATAGGAAAACATGGAAAGATCATTTCTTAAAATTTAGATTTACTTATATAAAACATGATTCATACTTCTACATTTGCATTAGGGAGAACATATTAGCTAAAAATATATACAAAGTACAGAATTCTATGTGGTTCATTAAGAATAGCATTACTATGTACACCCAATAAACTGTATACTAGAATAAGTAATTTACTGATGAGGTTATGAGTGGGTGAATGTCAGACTTCTGTTAAAAAATGTGAGAGATTGTGAAATAATTTCATTTTTGTGTTCCTAATAAATGGTAGGTACAAAAGAACAGGACTGTGAATGACAAAGTGTAAGAGAAATGCCCTGGAGGAAAAATGAAATAGGGGAATTGGACAGCTGAAATTAAATGTATCTGGTACAGATGTCTGGAGGAGTTACTTAGCCAAACTTTATTCAAGCCAATTAGAAACTGACATTATCAGTTGATATTACAAGAGTCTCCAGAGGTTTTCCATTTCAAACAAAATTTTAGGAATAGATTTGGATAGTGCTCAGCTTCCTATTTCATTTTTCTCACAAATGTTTATAGTCATAAGGAGAAATAAATAGTGCTGTTTATTAAATCTCTCTTTTGAAAATGTAATCAAGAAAATCTATGTAGCCTTACATTTTTTAAAGGCAAAATTTGTTAGTGATATGGAACAAAAAGTGACTATCAATTGTGGAGATAGTCCATCTATTTTACAGAAGCACTAGAAATTCTGAATCATATTTTTTACTTCAATCCATACCCACCCTTGGCTTGGACCAATTGCAGAAATGCAGGCGTGTCACTTCATAGCTCAACAACTTCAGAATAATGATGGATCAATTGTGTGGTCACTGTGAATCTTCATGTCATTAGTGACATAAAAATTGGTGATACCTCATTCTTTATTACAACCATGTTTTGTTTTGCCAAAGGTAAAATACCTCTAGTTGACCTATATTTGAGGGTTGATTGGGGATGGAGCTGTTTTATCGTATCAGAAAATGGGGTCAGTTGCTTTAGTTTTTCCCATAAACCTGCCTTCCTTTTCTTTCTAATGATCACAAAAGTATTTCATTAGCCTGTTGTTATCATTGTGAAGCTAGTATTACATTAGGTTTTTTTATTTCAGTTTTTGATACACACAAGCCATTCCTAACAAAATAGTATTTAAATGTGTCAACCAAGTTTATCAATAACAAAGGCAATGTACTTCATTTTCTCTTTTGCCACCAAGAAGCATTTAATTTTTTGAAGGGATGGCTCCTTTTCCTTAAAAAATTCAATTATTCCTAACTTTCCCATATTGTGTATTTTTTAAGCCTGTAAACATTGAAAACTCTAAAATCCCAGTGACCTCTTCAACCTCTCCTTTCCAACCTCCATCTGGTATTGAATCTGCTTCATAAACACACATAGATCCAAGGGAATGTCTATGTCTATTTATAACATTCTTAGGATGGGCTAGACCCAGCAATGTGCCATGAATCAAAATAATTTGGAAGCATCTCTAGGATTAGCCCCAACTGCAATTCTTAGTGTTAAGTGCCCAGCACCTCCAATTTCTGCAGTGCTGTGCCAGCTTCTAAGATTGGTCATAGTTGGGCAATCCTTCCAATAGTGTTTTCTCTGGATGCTTTCCAAGACCTCAATGCCTGTGCTATGAAGATAGAAAGCTATAGTTAACACTGATATCTCTTCTACAAGGAAACTGGGGAGAAACAATAACACCATTGCTGTGGCAAAACTGGGTGAAATTTTGTGGCCATTGAATCAATTTCTTTTCTGAATTCCAATTGTGATGCCCCTTGCATTTCCATAATAGGAAAATGATTGGTTTTATTAAATGCTAATGATAGGTATTCAGTTTGGCTATTTAGTTTCTATTAATTTTCCAGTTATATGATTGATTTACTTATGCCAAAATTCTGTCATTGTCAGTTATCTAATAAGTATTTCTCAGGGTCTGTTTTAAGATCATTATTTGATAGCTATAGCATGAAGCAGAGGGTCATGGCACCCATAATTATGGAATTATGCCTGTAAAAATAACAATTATTGGGTAATAATCTCAAGAGAAATGGAATTTAAAACTGGCAGGAAAATTAAAATATTATTCTACTTATAAATAAATGTTTAATCTAAAAATAGTTTGGCTGTAAAATTTGACATCCAACCCCAACTCTGTGTAACCATTATTAAAACTAATTCTCTCATTATTTCAGGACTCATAGCTGTATATAATTCATTTCATAAAAACAAAGGCAATGTACTTCAAATTTTCTCTTTTGTCATCAAAAAACATTTAATTTTTTGACAGAATGTTTCCTCTTCCTATAAAATATTTCAGTTATACATAACTTTTCTCTACCTTGTATTTTTATTAAGTTACAAACATTGGAAACTCAATGTTTCAAGTTGAGCTCGTGCGATGAGTATTCAGACTCCTTTCAAGAATTTCTTATTCCTTTTATGTCACCACAGCATGTATGTTCATTCAAGACATGCCCTAGTACTGATTGTCTCCCAAGTGTTTCAGTAAACCATATTGCATTTTGGAGAACTATTTCACATGCAAATTAAACTCCTTTCTGATATAGGACCCATTTGTGAAGTGTTTACACAGGCTTGATGTTTACATTGCCCTAACTCAGTGCCTCAGACACCCCTATGACCAAATTTGTCTCTAGCCACAAAGCTCACTTCCTCTAATATTACATTTAAGAAGTCCTCATAGGTACACTAACACAGCCAAAGGTCTTCTGATACCTTCAGAAAGGATGAGAGAATTTTACTGGGATTTGGAGATTATTAGCACCTTCTCCTGGTCTCTTAGCATACTTCTTATAGAGTAGACTTAAGTGTGTGTGTGTGTGTGTGTGTGTGTGTGTGTGTGAGAGAGAGAGAGAGAGAGAGAGAGACAGAGAAAACCATTAATTAGGTATAAGGCTATCTTTTTATAAGACAAGAATGGTTGTTTGAAAAATATCAAAACATAGTCAAGGTTTCATGATGTCTTGGTCTCAGTGATTAGCTGAGAAATGGCTGGGAGTTGAATTTGTGTGTCTCTCCATAAGTTTTAAAATTCTTGTCAGTTACCACTCATCTAATCAATTTGCTATCATTTCCATAGCATCAGCTATTATACTGCAAAAAAGTCAAAGCCAGCATTTTCTAAAGTATTTTATCTGTTCTTTTTAACAAGATGGGCTAGTCCCATCTCTGTCATAGTTTTACTTTAAGTTATTATTTGCCAACCTGTACAAATAGGATGAACTGGGCAAAGGCTTTAATTGGCACTTTTTTGTCCCCCTTATAAGACAAGTTTGACCATAGGAAAAAACATGAGTATATTAAAAATAATTTAATAGCAATAACCTTACAGAATTCATCAACAAATTTGATGAGGTCCATGTATTTTTCTCACCAATGGTGTGAGTGCAGGAGCCGGAAGCAGTACCATGGCTGAATGCCATGTATAACTAGGCACAGTAGGTAACTTGGAAGCTCTTGTGCATAAAAGAATATCATTCAGGGTTCTGTGGCATCTATGTTCACTTGAAGGATGCACGTGCTTTCCTTATTGTGTATTACACCAATTATTTGAACAAAACTTGTCATCCATAAAAGATTATAGAGTTACATTCTTAAAATTGAACTATAAAGAAATAGTGTTCTAAGCCTCTGGTATGTAAAGATATGTAATAATTCTTTAAAAACATGATTTGAGAGCTGATATTAGCTAAAATGATAGAGTTGTCTTGTACTGTCTATGACCAAGCTTTATAACATTTAAAGAAGTCTAGTGTGTTTGTCTATTTTAGAAAAAGTTTATCATTTTTAAAGATGCTGTCTATATTTGAAAAGGTTACCTAAGAATTCACCATGAGCTTTATTTTCCTCTTAATCTTTCACCAAGTTGATATCAGCTTATTTCTGGGGAGAGTATTGAACTATTACACATGAAAAGGGATATAGCTCATCTGAAATAAGTATTCTCTCAACACTTTATAAATTCATGAAGCTGCTTTTTTTCATGGTATACAACTAATTGTTGTTGGATATATAGATTTTATAAAATTACTGCCTTCAAACCACAATAATAATGTTGAACAAGAACTATAAAGAGAAGAATTAAAAGTTGACTAAACAATGCAACAGAACATAGATAAGGCCATCAGTTGATTTTTAGGTAGGAAAAAAAGACTTAAAGTTTTTATAACTACATCCATGAAAAATAATTTTTTATTATTTTGTCTACCAACTAGAGTTTATTCCCTTACAACTAAGCTAATAAAAATATTTAAATACCAAATATTTCATTATTGTCATGAAAATTTGGGATACTTAGAAACATTTATTTCCTATATTTTGACTCCAGTATTCTCATAAATTTAACTTGACTAATTTTTTAAAGAGTAGCAGTCTAAAGATGCTTTTCTGCTGAGTTCTTTGTAACAATCATCTATGGTTGAGATATTTTCTAACTTCACATATGAAGAGAAGATCATAAATGAAATAAATAAAACATCATATGTACTTATCTTTATTTTGCCAGGTGATTTTTGTCCCCAAATGCTCCTTTGAGAGAAAACTTAGGGTTATAGAAAGGAAAAGTGTCCACAAAAACAATCTGGGAACTGCAGGTATGTCATTAGATATCTTAGTGGCTTCTCCTTATATGGCTTATGAATCTGGAGTGTCTCGTAGGGTTTGTGTGAGACTCAAGGAGGGAATACATCACAAAAGTGACTTGCAAGGTACATTCCCTATCATGAACAGGTATTATTATCACAAACTAAGAATGAATAAAAAAAAACACAATCATAATTTGAACCACTTGTTTTAACAGGAAGTATAACAAGAACAACACAGTAATTTTAGTAGCGGTATTTAAAAGTACAAGTGGGCAGTCAGTCAATTTAAGATCACTGTATTTGATTGAAAATGTTTATCTCACTATTAAAAATTATAAACTCTATTTCAGTCTGTATGTCATCTTGTATTTCTTTCAAAGAAACCAATTATATTCTAGATAGTATATTACAGCGTGGTCAAATTCCTCTGTGTACAAATAGGGTTTTTGTAACCAAAGCCTTGTAAAAGATTCTGATTGTATTTGAAATAAAGAAAAATAAATTATCCTGCTTTAGTTAATGTGTTAAAAGTAGACAATGTTCCAATGATAAACACTGAAGTGCTTCACTGTATTCCAACAGTTTACCTTTAGTAACATCACCTCATTTTTAAGCTAAGCATGTTCGTTTTGTCTATCTTCTACACAGAACTATGTTTTGTCTAATGCTTGGAATATAAGTTAAAACTTCAAACGTGGAGTTTTTATTCTATAATTCCCTGAATAGGCTGTGGTTCCTGACAAACACTTAGGTCATTATTTTGTTGTACCAAAGTTCTAGTGACTTCAGAAATCATAGCATCCAATGATTTGTGGTGTCTGGGTTTGAATAGTATGGTTGAGAACTGTCATCAGTGATCATTTCTGCATACTTTTCAAATAAAAATGCATTTTTATCAATTACTCTGTGTACTCAAAGCAACTT